AGACCCCTATTTTAAATGTCTGGGAGTTCCCCAGGCAGCTTCCTTAGGATGGTGTGAATATTTGACTCCTGATTATCTGTATGGTAGGTGCTGGGAAAGCATGAGCTCCCAGCCATTGCAGAGGCTCCCCTAGTCCACACATGGTCAGGCGCTGTGCATGGGAGTGGGTGCAGGGCTCCATGGGAAACTCTGGGGCACTGTACACTCTTGTGCTCCCTCCCCCCATGCTGGGGTTCCCTGGCAGGGCTGTGTTGCTTCATTGCTTTAGGGAAGCCATTTATTTCCTGGGTCTCTGTGCCTGACACTCCTGAGCCCACTGCCTACAAAATGTGGTGGTGAATGCCCTTGTAAGGAGATATGGAGGCACACAGTTGGCAGCTTACAGCAGGACTCTGCTTTCCAGTGGTGGGAGAGACACGTGTAAGACTGCGTGGGGTACCCAGCCGTCTCTCCCTTGTTATGGGAAAAATATTTGGAGTAAGAAAGAGAAAAGAGAAAACTGGCCCCAAGTAGTGTCTCCACCTGGAAGAACCTTTAGTCTATTCATTCCACTTTCTCTCTGAACCTAGCAGACTTAGTTGGAAGCATGTCCCTCTCTCTCTCTCTCTCTCTCTCTCTCTCTCTCTCTCTCTCTCTCTCTCTCTCTCTCTCTCTCTCTCTTTCTCTCCCCCTGCCCCGCCGCGCGCTTCCCTCTGTCTCGCGCTCTCTCTCTCTCTCTCTCTCCCTCTCCCAACACCTTCTCTCTCCCAGGTTCAGTCTGGGAGTACGAATGGACTGAGCCCCATAGTGCTAGATGGTTCCTAAAGGCAAACTCTGTTATGGCCCCCAAGAAGTTTGTATCCTCCTGGGACGAAAGGGCAATAATTTATAATCCTATGTAGCTGTGGCCAGGTGAACACAGGCTTGCAAGGTCCGAAATTGTGTAGGAAGGATGAGTAGGAAATAGAAAGACTTGCTCCCAAAGCATTACCTGGATAGGACAGATTTGGGTGGTGATTAACGATCTAGATAGTGTCCACTGCTCCTCTTCCTCCTTGGAAAGAGCCCCGAGGTCATCCCATGTCTTATCTGGTGTTTACACCAAACTTCCTCTATCTATGCTCATGGAAACAGTGGCAAGATGGGGGCCTAGGTTAGCCTAGGAATTGAGGGCTCCCTTGGCTATTCTGTACTTTCCATGTCTCAAAGCTGGATCTTAAGTTCCCTTCCCTTTTCTATAAGAAAGCCACAGTGCACTTCCTGAGTACCTATGTCCAGACCTCAAGTCCTGGAAGAGTTGATCCAAGAGCTTTCTGGAATGCTGGTTGTGGTATGGATTTTCCTTGTGAAATTCCACCATTGTAGTTCACCACACCGTGGCTTCTGATTCTCTGGAGACAGCTGGATAACTAAGGAGATGCTCAATTTGGTGCAGAAGGGCTTGGGGGCTGGAGTGCTAGGTAGAAAACAAAAATTCAGGGGCCAGCCCGGCGCGTGGCTCATGCGTATAATCCCAGCACTTTGGGAGGCTGAGGCAGGTGTATCACCTGAGGTCAGGAGTTCAAGACGAGCCTGACCAAAATGGTGAAACACCATCTTTACTAAAAATACAAAAATTAGCTGGAGGTAATAGTGCATTCCTGTGATCCCAGCTACTCAGGAGGTTGAGGCAGGAGAATAGCTTGAACCCAGGAGGCGGAGGTTGCAGTGAGCTGAGATTATGCCACTGCACTCCAGCCTGGGTGACAGAGTGAGTGAGACTCCATCTCAAAAAAAAAAAAAAAAAAAAAAAATTCAGGGACCGATGATTACCAGCTTCCAAAGAGGAATGGTGACAGAGGGGTCTTGATATTAGAAGTAGATCAGAAGCCAAGGAACCAGTAACTGATCCAAAGAACAAGTAACTGATCTCGGTCCCAATATCATCTTCAACTATAGATTTGGTTATTGTTATGAGCCATTGTAGGCATTTTGAGGCTATTTTCTGGGTATCAAGCATATTAGCCACAAGGACTAAAGAGATCAAGGAAATAGGGTTGAGATTCTGCCTTCAGTCTTCTTATTTTTCTCTCCTATTGGTGGTCTCCATCCAGCAACTACCATGTCCATGTAAATGGGCTCCAGATCTAAATCACCAATCCAAATCTCTAATCTGAGCTCCAGTAATACACTCCAGCCACTGCCAGAACAGCTCTATTACAATATATAATCTAACTCTCCCAAAGCCTGACATGTCCAAAATAAAATTTATCCATCAACCTCACTTCCCCTCCACTCTTCCTAGACCTGTCCATGTTCCAAAGCTTCACATCTTTCTGCCTGCAATGATCTTATACTCTTCTTCTAATCAGTGTCTCACTATTCTTTAAGACAACTCAGATCTCATGTTTTCTGTTTATAAAATGTCTAGGTGCAATGGAGCACGTTCCTGAATCTACATTCTTTAAGGTCCAGATGCATGGCCACTTCCCAGGTGCAGTCTCCCATAATCCCTCAGGCAGAAGGACCTCTTCTTCCTCTGGGCTCCCAGAGCACTTAATCTGAAACTTTCTTTTAGCCCTTTCTACATTCATCCCCATTTCAAATCAAATCTCTAATGTCTCTGTACTTCTGAAATATTCCTACTTCCCAATGCATTTAATAACTGTATATCCACCAGAAAAAAATCCTGCCATCCTCAACTCCCCTTTTTTTTGAACTGACTAGAGCCACCTTCTGGGCTTCTCATCTAATAGTAACAGGTCACACTTCCAGCTTCCTGGTAGATGCTACTTCCTCACTCAGTTGTGTTAACTTCTATGTTATTGAAACAGTCTATTAAATGGTGTGGGCACTTCTAAGTGATAAGAGAAGACATTATTACGCTTCTCAAAGAGGATGACTTTAGAGTCAAATAGATGTGCCTTTGATTTGGGTTCTATACTTATTAAATGTGTGACCTTGAGCAAGCCACTTAATTTTTATGAGCCTCAGTTTCCCCATTTGTCAGTGGAAGGGTAATACTTTGAAAGTTTCATATTGTGCTCTTTCCCTCCTCCTTGAGTTTGCACATGCCATGCCTTCAGCTTAGCTCTCTCACGCACTTTTTGCTGGGAAGACACACGATTCTTCAAGCCTCAGCTTAGATGCACACACCTTAGGAATTCTCCCAGTCCTCCCTCAAAGATCAGGTTAGTTGCCTTTTCCATGTGCTTACCATCCAATGTCTTGGCACTTAGCCCTTGAATTGTAATAATTTGTTTCTTGCTTTCTTTCCCACTTTGAGGAACTGCAAACTGTTGAGGACAGGGATCATGATTTGCTAATTGTCACGTACCATCTTTGCCCTGCTTCATCCGCTTTTGATCCAAAAATAAAGCCAGCAAAAGTAAGCCAGCTCAGCTAAGGAATTCATAATTCTGAAATTCTGAAAAAAAATGTTGATTTCTCACTGAGCACTTATTAGCTGAGTGCATTGCAACATTTCAGCTCTTCAAATTGCGAACTCCATTCTTGCCCTGTGTTAGGCACTGGGCAGTAATTTGCTTTTGGTATGGAAATTGAGTGATATGTCTCTGAACCAATGTTAAAACCCAATAGTTTCCAATTTCATAAGATTTAAAACCAGTTTTGTGTATGTGAAACTACCCAAATCGCCAAGAGAATTAATTTTATTAGAAGAGTCTCATTCAGTAATAGCGATTTCCACAGTTTGTTTGGCACCCACAGTGGTAAATATTTTATTTTAAAAACTCAGCCACATATAAATGTGTTATAACAATCTAGGTACTTTGTCATGAATAAAAGCAATGATAACTATGGCGCTATCTTCTATTTACTTCAAATGTCACTTCTGAAGTGTATATTTATAGAACATGATAATTCAAAGAGGAAGATCCAGACCTCTTCCTTCCAGGGTCTTTCTCTTCAGGGTCCATCCCCATCCATGACATTCGCTAGCTGTGTGATCTTAGGAAAGTTATTTCATTCCTCTGTGACTCAGTTTCCTAGTCTGTAGAATAGCGATAATAGCCTCTGCATTATAGAGTTATTGTATGGCTTAAATGAGCTAATAGATGTAAGCGCTTATAATAATGCCTAGCACCTGGTATAAGCACTCTATAAATGTTAGCTATTATTATTTGCCAGGGGTGAATCAAATATAAGAAGAGTGTTTGGATAAGATTACCTTTAAATTCCCTGCCAGTCCTGAGGTTCTATGTCTCTGTATCATTCCAATCCCTCAGCATTCCTATCCAGTAGGGAGGGGGCAGCATTATCCACATTTTACAAACAGTAGAATTGAGCCATAGAGAAGCAAAATGTCCAGTAAGCAAGTGGCAGTCTGAAACTAGGACTAAGGTTTGTAGATGTAAGTATGAGGACTCTTTCCGGGAGGCTGTGCAGCTGTACATTTAAAAGCAAGCATTAGATATCCCTAATGAGCCTGTGAGCAGTGAACCCTTGGTCCCCCTTCTCTGCAAGGTTCTTCATAAATGTGCATCAAGGTCACTTCTGTCTCAATCTCTGAGATGATCTCAGCCATACCTTTTCAGATATTTTTCTTGCCAGCTTTTAAAAAAGCTAGATTGTGGAGTTGGATGATGGGCCAGCTCGATCTCTTTGGTTCCCTGTATTCTTTGCTGCTTTAGGCATTCCTGTGCCTGGGTGGTGAAGTAGGTATACACATACTTCACATGGCTCTCCACCCTGACTTTTTGGAGGGTTCCTTCTGCTGAGCCAGGACCTTAAACTACTTGAGAACCCCACAGCTGGCCTTATTCCAAAACATTCTATCACAACCACTCGCCCATCCCATTCCACCCTAGATTTCTCCTGCAATCATGGGCAAAGCATCCGCAAAAGCTCCCATCCTCTCCCTTTCTCTCACTATCTGGGTTGGTCAGACAGAAGCCTCTATCTTCTTTAGGATCCTGGCTATGCAGAGGCAGCCCCAAGAGTTGGTGGGTGCGGGGAGTTTCCTATGCCTGAATCTGGACTATTCAAGAGGATTTAGGATGCTTTTCTTTTCTGTCCACTAGGGGGCTGCTTGTAGGGGGATGGAAAAAACTGAGGCTGAAAAAAAAAAAAAATCATGCTGCTGAAATTTCAGCAAGAGGGGAAAAGAGAGAGCGCGTGAGAGAGAGACAGCAAAGCAGTCCCAGGCTTCCTCCTCTCTTTCACGTCAGAGGCAGGAACCGACTGTGCTAAGGCTGTTGGCTCAACACGCAGAGGAGACGGGCAGACCCAGGGAGAGTGAGAGAAGGGGGTCCTCCCTGACCCAAGGAATTACCACTAGTGGAGTGAAGCCACCTGACTTTCTGATCTTATTTTGGTTGCCTCCTCATTCTCCTTCCACCCGTAGCCCTGACAGCTTGGGTTTCATTTCTTTCGTAGATCCTTGTCTCTTCCTCCCAGAAAAGGAGGAAGGGAAGAGAAGGGAGAGAGGTGGGCTCTCTAGGTGAGCGCATCAGCTAGCTCCAGCCTGAGCAGTCAACAATTTTCTTCCTAGGAAGCTCCTCGGCTGCCCACCCCCAGCCTGGGTAAGTCCGGAGCACTCGCTCCTTTGATTTTCTCGCTAACGTGATTTCAGCACCAAGGAGAGCTATGAGATGCATTTTGGTTCCTGTGTGTCTGTGTTCCTGCAAGGCGTTTGGCACTAAGGTTACATCTGTTTCTCTGCTGCCAGTAGTCGGGTTCTGCGTAGGGAAAAGAAAGGCGCAAAACTATGTTTACCGAATTAAAGGGGGATGTGGACTTTGGCCTTGCAGGTGTGCGTGTGTGTATGTGTATGTGCGTGTGGACTGTTGCATAAGACAGGTGAGGTCTGAGCTAAATTGCCGGTGGTTTCTGCGTGTCTCCATGTAGGGCTGTTCTTTTTCTCTGTAGATAAGCGAGAGGGTTGGGGAATAAGTCGGGGACCTTCTTTAACTCTCTCCCGACAAGCCATGCATGGTGGGAAAGTGTTGCAAAGGAAGCCTGGGGGGTTGGGAGTGGAGGTAGAGTTAAAAGTTGGGTACTTCTGAGAGAGCTTTAAGGAGGTGGTTTCTTAAATGTCAGTTTCCTAGGATTCTCTGGGCTCTTGCTGTGGAGAGAGCCCAGGCTGACCTTTTACTTTCTCTCCTGATGTGAACCCATGGCAAGTGGGCAGGTGCAACAGGTGAGGCTCAGGCTGGGGCGGCTCTGGGGGACTGAGGTCCATTCTGACTTCATGGTGGTAGAAAAGTGCCAGTGTCATGAGCTTTGCAGAGATTGGCTGATGTGAATTATATTACATTTGCAGAAGGCAGGAGGTATCCTCCACTCTTCTGTCCTCATTGGCTATGGGTGGTTGGAAAGAGGACAAAGTCTGTTCTGCCCTGTTTTCTGGGGTATCTGGCAGTGGAAAAACAGCTCAGAAGAAAGGTGTGTCTCTATATGTCTATGGGAAGCAGAAACAAACTTAGACTTGTCCCGGACTCAGGAGGACTTGGAGAGGTACTCTGTTCTCCTTCAGCACGGAGGGGCTCTGCAATCAGGAGCTCATTATTACTTCATTATCCATTTCTACTACTTTTTGCAGGGTATTTCTCTATTCTCTCCTGCTTTCTGCCTCTCTGGAGTATGTTCAGGCAATTTCCCGCATCTGCTTTGGTATGGTCTTGGAGACACTATATGCCGGCCCCTCCCCCATTCAGTCCTGGCCACTTCTACCTGGGTGAGTCATTCAACAAGTGGTGTTGACGGTTTCCTTCAATCATTCAAGTCTCAGTGGAGCCAGCATCTGACAGGGAACTTGAAAGAGATTTGGCTTCTTGTAGGAGCAAGTTTTCCCTTGATTTAACCCCTAACTCTATGGTTCTAATCACTTTCTTCAAGTGTGTTGAGACAGGGGAGATACACAGGCAGGGGAGTGGTTCACTCTTTCCAACCCCAAATGAACCCTAGAATGGCAATTTTTTTGTCTTACTTTTAATTTAGCATAATGGGTCCCTCCTCCAAGGTGAAGAAAATACTCTCCGCCTCTGGCTGGAGAGGCTTCTGGGTGAGAGATGTAGTTCTGAGTGAAATGGCACCACTTTTCGTTTTTACTATGCTTGGCATTGGATCCAGAGATCTTAGCATTGCCCTAGAATGGCAGGAAGTAGAATGCAGTCAGGAAGAGAGTGAAGTCAGAGGTTGTAAGGGTAGAGAAGAAAGACTGAAATAGACAAATGCAGAGCATCAGAAACCGACACTGACTCATTCAATGTTTTAATGCTCCAAACCCTCCTGTCCTTGAAATCTTCCAGTTTGAACAAGGGAGTGGATGGATTTCTGCATGACACATCCCTGAGGGTTTAAAAAAAATTATACCCTTGCAGTGGACCCTGTCCAAAGCTACCGTTTATTACTGAAGTCACCATACTTAGTGGTCATTATCTCATTAATGCCCTTAAATTCTCTCTGAAAAAAAGTGCTCAGTGACATTATTGGACCCATTTTATAAATGGAGAGACATAGACACTTAACATGGGAGGCCAGAGGATAGTAATAGCAGAAACAGAACTTCTAGCCTGCTAATACATTCTCACCTAGGAAATGCAGTAATGCTCCTGTGCAGAAGAGAAGGGATGGATTGGTCCCCAAAGGACAGGCTTGCAGCCAAAGCCTTTCAGGGAACTCAGTGTGGAGCAATGGCCTCACCCTAGTGAAGAATGAGAATCAGCCAGAAATCTCAAGGTGCTGATGGCCTCTACTTCTCAGCTAAGAAGATGGCCAAGAGCCAGATGAAGAGCTCTCTGGGCTTACTGCAAAGAGAGACCCCTGGGCTGGTGGCATCTAGGCTGAACTGATGTCATGTGCCTGATTGCCACATTACCATGCCCCAGAAATCCCAGCTGAAGGCCCCCTATCTGGGGCATGTTGCCATAGCTGTCTTGGCTTTGGGTGTTTGGTGACTGTTCTCTCCTATGAACGTTTTCTGGAACCACGTTCATTGAGTCCTCTGTGGTTCTGAATGTGGCAAGGATGACTAAGGAGCTGGAGAGGGCTGGGCTCTGACCACCTATAGAACCACTAGAAGAGGAGTGGGAAACTGGATGCAAACCCACTTCACGTATAAAGCCACTCCTGCAGCATTCCTGGCCATCACATCTGGCCAGCGTCCTGGAGAGAAAGCCACTAAGTTCTCATGCCCAGCCATCCTTCACTGCTCAGGGGAGACTGCTGGGCTGCCTTTCGGGCCTGGGGAGATGAGAAGTGGTGGGGAAAGATGGAAGGAGGAGGTCAGCTGTTCTGCACTATTCTCCATGGCAAAAGTTGCCATCTTTTACCTGGAAAGGGCCACTATTACTTTTTTGTTGTTGTTGTTGAAAAAAATGAGGTATAATTTATATATAATAAAATGCACTGATCTTAAGCATTCGGATTAAGTTTAGACAATTGTGTGCACTTGTGTACCCCAAAAAAGGTATACAAAAGCTCCTTGTGCTTCTTTCCAATTTTTCCCCTCCCCCAATCCCATCATTTTCTGACTTATATCACCATAGCTTACGCTGCTACATTTGCAGTGGAAATGTATTGCTGAATGTATTACTTAATAGATGTGGTATCTAAGCCCTAGACTTTCAGGAGAACACCTCAGAGTTCTGAGGCTATTTTTAGGGTGTTAGTAGCAAAGATGTGCAAGGGGGACATTCTGTACCCTAGCTTAAGGTCATGGTGTTAGAAAGACAAGTGGTCGTTTCAATCATGTTCGTGGAAACCAACAATCAAATCTGAACAGAAATTGTGGAAGCCCCTACAGGCAACTGCCTCGGAGCTTACCTGAGTTATCTGATGGAGTTCATAGAGATGATTTTGAAATTTCCATTAAAAACTTGGAATTCAGTATTCAGGTGGCTGGTCATGAGTCTCCCTACCTGGGCTTCAGGAGAGTGAGCTGAGGAAAGAGTACCCATGTGAGCTTAGTAAAGAAAGAAAGAGAAGAGTTCATTGTGATAAAACTTATGCCATGAAATTCAGCCCTATCCACAAAGGTCATGGCTGAGGAGGGTGCTGTTTCTCTTTATTAAGAGTAAATTTAGAACCAGAAGCCATATATGGAGACCTATGTACCAACACAGCTCTATCCAAGGATGTCTCCAATCCCCCTGCTCCCATCCCTGGGTTGTGGGCTAGGTGAGGTAATACTCTTTTGCATTTTACTGTTAAGTGATGGAGTTATCAGAAAGTTTGGTAACTTTGGGGTGTGTGTTTGTGCACGCACACATGCATGTGTGTGGTATCAGCGCACACATACAAACATGTATAACCAGTTTGGACACCTTGCCTATCTAATTCTCTTTACCCTGTCTCTCATTTAAGGGCCACTGGATAAAGATGGGGAATTTTGTGCACCATTTGCACATAGGGTCTTCAACAAGGAAATCAGAGTTTCTGGCAGATTACTCAGTAAATTAGAATCTTTAGTGGAGCTTAAAATGTGTCTAGGTAGGTCATAGACCTATTTACATGTTCAGAGGGTGCCAGTGTCCTCTGCCTCCCTCCATTTGGAGACCTTACTCTAGCACCTTCTTCCAGCACTTTGCCCCATTCTGAGGTCACCTGCCTTTGAGAATGCACTCAATGCACTGAGCCAGCTCTTTGAGGGGAAGTCTCCTGAGTCATCTCTCCCAGCTGCGATCCCACAGAGTAAAGTATAGGTTGCTAAAACACCATGTCATGGAAAGTTAGAAGATAACCAAAGTGAGAACTTCCTGGTACAGAAATACAAAGTTGAATGATATTCACAAAACCAGTTCCAGTAGATGATTTGGCAGAAGTGCAGAGACACACTTTTGCCTCATTTTGATTATGGGTTATGCTAATAATGATGAGATTTCCTACCTAACCAGAGTTTCATCTTCTTAAGAGCAAGTCCAGTGGGGAAGGGGGAATTGGAATGGGGTTGTTCAAAAGCTATTTTGAATCATGTATGTATAAGAATCACTGCATCATTATCTTGGAAATGTGACTTTGAATTAGAACTGTATTGGTAAATTTTGAGCACAGTAAGCTAATGATATGCCAATTGGCAGAGGGAATTCAAGCAACCTTGTCTTTTTCTCTTTCCCTACTTTTAAAAATATAGTTCAGTGGCAGTAAGTACATTTACATTGTATGCAACCATCACCAGCATCCATTTTCAGAATCTTTTCATTTTTCCAAACTGAAACTCTACCATTAAATGCTAATTCTCCATTTCCTCCTCTCCCAACCCCTGGCAACTTCTACTTCCTGTCTCTATGAACCTGACTATTCTAGGTACTATATGTAAGTGAAATCATACAATATTTGTCCTTTTGTAGCCAGTTCATCTTATTTAGCATAATGTCCTCGAGGTTCATCCATGTTATAGCATGTATCAGAACTTCATTCCTTTTTATGGCTAATATTCCTCTTCATGTTTGTACCACATTTTGTTTATTCATCCACCCATCAATGGATGCTTGTATTGCTTCCTATTCCCCTCCTTTAATTCTGGCCAACTGACTCTGCTTTACTCTCCAATCCAGTAAGAAACAGACACTTTCCCATGATT